CACCTAAAAGCTCCTCTCTAAGCCATACACCATCCAAACTTGGAAATATCTTGCTGTTTGCTCACTGTCACTGGGTTAAAATCATGGAACTCCCTCCCTAATAGCACTGGGGTTGTACTTAGATCAAATGGACAGTAGTGGTTCAAGAAGGTAGCTCACCACCACCATCTCAAGGAAAACTACAGATGGGCAATAAATCCTGGCCCAGCCAGTGAAGCGCACATCCTCTGAATGAATAAAAAAAATTCATAAGATATACCACAGGAAGTAAAGAGAACTTTCAGCTGATTGCTACCGAGTTTTGCTGAAGGCAGCAGAAACCTCAAATTTTTCTTAAGATGCATCTAATTTCATGATGGGAATAGCGGTTGCAAAATTTTCACTGAGCTGTTGTGGTAAGAAGACAATGTACTTAGAAAAAAAACTATAACAAAATCAATTATAAAAAGTAAGCTGTATCCCACTAATAATTTAATAAATCGTGAAATTTACAAAATAAAAGAAATCAGTGAGGAATTGTCAGGAACATTTTTGCATAAGTATGGTAAAACAGCAGAGAAAAAAATCAACTAATGTTAAAAAATGGATTGTAATGAGGATTACAACTGTATTTTGCACGTGGTGGCTCTTCTTTAAAAGTGCTGATGAATTACAACACCTGAATTTTTTGATTCAAAGAAAAATCCTGCCATCTTTCCCCTTTGCTAGAGTACAACAAACCGTTATTCCGGTATGTTTTACAGGCTATGTTGGATGTGTCCCTCTACTAGATATTAAAGCCACTTAGCTTCCTTTTATGAATGTGTCTTTTTGTTCCTCTTTAGCTTATAATGGAGTCGTTTACAGCACACAAGGAGACCACTCAACCCATCAACTCCATGACAACTCCCTATACAGCAATACATCCCCTAAGCTCAATTGTCTCATTTCTCCTTAAAGCATCGAAACAATTTTGTTTTGGATTCATTGATCATCTCTAATCCCACTAGCTGTGTAGTTCAGTTCCAGGTCATTACATTTGCCATGTAAAAAGGTTCTTCCTTGCATCACCCTGCGTCTCTTGCTCAAAATGTTAAATTTATAAGCATCTAGTCTTTGCACTAAGGTAATGAGAAGTATTTTTCCTGGTCTGTTATTCCAAATTTGTCATAATCTTGTACAGCTTATCAAATCTCCCCGCAGGTTCCTTTGACCAAGGAGAACAACTCCAAATTTCCCAATCTAATCTTGTAACTGAAATCCCCATTCCTGGTACCATTCAGGTAAGTTGTTATTTCCTCCTCTAAACTGCTAGTTACCTTACAAGTTGATCAATCTTATCCAATTGCTTCAATGGCACTAGGCTGAATCGGCCCACCTTCTTCTCCAGCACCAGGTGCAAAAATAGTTTTTCTAACTATACAAAGAAAATAATGGCCATGGAAATTCTCCTAAACACATTTTAGAAAGTCTTCTCTCTTTAACGTTATCCCAAATACAATAATTAAAGTACCCATATGTCACTACTTGATAGTTTTTCTGAGATTTTTACGTAGATTTGCTCCTCCACCTCTCTCACCATTTGGAGGCCCTACAGAATATTTCCAGTAGCGTGATCCTATTTCTGCTTCGCAACACTAACTAAATTGATTCTGTCCTTGCTCCTTCAAGAATATCATCTCTTTTGCACATCACATAGTATTTTACCTCGTTCTCTATCTCTTCCAAAATCTTTATATCCTTGAATGTTAAGTGTTCAGTCCTCAAGATTTTTAAGTCCTATCTCCTATTACATTCTCATGTGTTGGTGATTTTAGCTTACCAACTAGCATTCAGTATACTTTGCACGTTCACATATATGCATCGCAACCTAGTCTTTGAATTTCTTACAGTCCTTGGTTCACTGCTAACTAATATGGTACTTGTTCCTTCTCTGGTACGTACCAACTCTCTCATTTAATGCACCTTATTTCTCTTCCCTGCTTCTATGTACTGGTGCCCAATGCGTTCTAAATTACTTTAAATCCTCCCAACCAGACTGGTGAAGTTTCTCATGAAGGCTATGGTCTCAGTCTTTTCAATAGGTGTCTCCAGATGCAGAAGTGGTCCCAATGTCCCAAGAGTTTAAAGTTAATGGCACTAAAAGCCAATCAACTTCTTTAGGAATAATGTGATGAATACCAATGTGATATTGCAGAGCAATTTTCAAATAGAACGAAAACAATTTATACACATAATCACTGCGGCGATGCAACTGTTTTCATTTGAAATTTCTCTCATTTTTAAAAGCCCACATGGTTCAATGTCACTTTATTTCCAGGTAACAAGGCAAATGTCCACGCAATCCATGCCCCAAGTTTTGTTAGGCGAGATCTGCACGTGAAATAAGATTAGTTTCACACTAATAGTGGAGGACCTATTCTTAATGACATCGGCTAAAGGCAATGTGGTGATATTGTGAATTCACTACATGACCATCAGACAAAACACACAAGTGGTACAATACATGTGTACCCCTAAATAGATCATAAGATCAATGCCTAACTGAACAATTTAAAAATCCCGTGGGTTTGGAAACAAAACGTCGTCCAATTTTTGTACCCTTCAGTTGTGTTTAACGCTGATTAATAGTGGCTGGCACAAAGAAAACTGCCACAAACACAATTTCCACTTATTCATTAAAGTAACAAAAAATAAAATGTTAAATTATTGAAAAGTGTGTGTTTATAAGAACATTTCATCACTGTCCTGAATACAAGTTGCTTTTAAGAGCTGTCAGCCATGGCAGTAACACATGAAATTAAGAGGCACCATAAACTGTTTTTTTAAGTTCATTCATGGGACGTACGTGTCACTGGCTGGGCAAGCATTTATTGTCCATCCCTAATTGTTCAGTTAGGAGTTAACCAAATTGCTGTAGGTCAGCAGTTATATGTAGGTCGGACTGCGTAAGGACAGCAGATTTTCTTCTCTAAAGGATATTAATCAACCAGTTGGGTTTTTTTTTAAAAACCATCAACAATCGATTCATGATCATCATTAGACTCTTATTTTCAGACCTCTTTGATTTCAAATTCCACCATCTGCTATGACAGTTTTCTAACCAGGGTCCTTAGATTATTATCCAGGTCTCTGAATAATAGTCCATCTCCCATACACACTGTTCATGACATTTCCACCACTTTACTCATGATCAAGATTGGACTGATGGGATTTTAACTGGCTGGGTAGGATTTATACTTTTTATGTATAGGACATATCAGGGCAAGTTTCAAACTGTTTGGGTAGATGCCATGTTGTACCTGTACTGGAATAGCTTGACTCCAGTTGCAGCAAGGTTTTTTTTAATTCTGGAGCAAATTTTCAAGTTTTCAGCACTATTACCAGAAAGATGGCAGGTCCCATAGCCTTTGCAATATCTAGTCTCTCCAGCTTTTTCTTGTTACCACAGGGAGGTGAATTAGATTGGCTTACGACTTGGATCTGAGATGCTAGGGATCTCCAGATAAGGTCAAGATGGATCATCCATCTCAGCACTTTTGGCTGAAGATTGCCGTGGATGCTTCAGTCTTATCTTTTGTCCTGATGTGCTGGCCACGCCCATCATTGATTAAGGGGATGTGGCAACACTGCAGAAATTAGATCTGATCCATTGGTTGTGAAATCACTTAGCTTTAACACATGCTGCAGTTGGCACACAGGTAGTTTTGTAGCTTCACAGGTTGATACTTCAGTTTTAGATATGCCTGCTGCTGCTCCTGGCATGCCCTCCTGCACTCTTCATTGAGTTAGGATTGCTACAAGAGAGTATTTAACATCCTAAAGTATCCTAAGCTTTATTCTTAAGCACAGCATACAAGACCAAGGACATTATGCTTAATCTGTGTAAGATAGTATTCCAGCTGAGGGTGGCCTAATGTGTCCTGTTCTGGGGGCTGTACTTTGATAAGGATGCAAAGATATTGAGCAGAGTGCAGAAGAGATTCAACAGAATGATTCCAATTAATGACTACTTAAAAGGCATCATCCTGCCTCTACAGGTATTAATGTAGCTGCAGCCAGGCCTGCCACAAATGCAGCAAGCACAACAGGTAAAACGAGGTGGCCAGCTTGTCATCACCAAGGGATGGGTGCTTCATCGAACGGGTTGGCATCAGAAGGAGGAGGAGGGTACTGACAGCCTTCCCTTGCTGCTGATCCCTCTATACCCGTCTTCCCCGAACCCCCATCCTGTGAAATCACAGTTGACATTGCCTGCCTGTGGCCGGGGACTGCTGGGGTCATTAGCTGCTGGCCTAAATGAGCCAGCAGTTGTCTAAAGGCTGAGGACATAATCTAGGTTGACATTACAGTCCAATTATGAAACAATGCTACATTATCTGAGAAGACATCAAAACTGATAGCCTGTTTGCCAGTAAAATGTCACATTGCACTTCCTGAAGAACAACAAATGAGCTTTCCAGCTGAAACAAACAGAGAATGCTGAAGAAACTCAGCAGGTCAATGGAGAGAGAAACAGTAAACGTTTCAGTCTGATATGACTTTCCTCCAGCATTCTCTGCTTGTTTCAGATTTCTAGCATCTGCAGTATTTTGCTTTCACATGATCAATGCGTCTGGAGAACTCAACATTTATCCCCCATCCAAATTCCCCCAAAAATAGATAAACTATTTCACTGTTGTTTCTGGGACCTTGCTGTATGTAACTTAGCCGGCACAGTTTTTTGCATTATAAACATTCAAAAGCTGTAGGACATGTCATGAAGTCATAAGAGGCTAAATAAATGCAAGTTCTTCCTATTTTTCTTTATACTGTGACACACAAATACGCTAATTGAAAGTAAAGATAAAGTAGATTATTCATGTTAGTGCAATTTCTGTCAGTCAGTCTTAGAAATAAGCTACCTTTAATTTTATTATAGCTTTATTTTATCAGAGAAGCATGATGCAAAACATTTATGCCTGTTCAAATACTAGTGCAAAATTAGAATATAGTTAGATAATATTAGTTAAGAGACTTACATCATAACTGAAGTCTGCATCATTTGCTACTGTCAAGTCTGCGAGGTCACCAAGGCCCAAGACACTTTCCAGCACATCATCAGGACCCATAATAAATGATTTGCCGGTTCCAGAGGGAAAAGCCAGCGGCTCAGCTATTTGGAAAAAAAAAACAAATATTTAATATTAAATGAATAAATCAAAATGTGAAAAAATTTGCAGAACCTTTTTTAATGTATCCCTTATGTCATTATTAAAACAATGATCTTTTTCCATGTTTCAGTATCTCAAATGTTGGGCAAACTCCTTTCCCAATGTACTAGCAAGTAATATCATGTTTTCACTCCAATAGAACTATAGGTAGCCTCAGCATTTCACACGAAACAATAAAAAACAGCAATTCCAATTAACATGAAAGCCAATTTTAGAGCAATATTTTGTAACTCTTGGAGGTGAGCTGCTTATTTTAAAAAAAAAACCGAACCAGGAATATGTGAGAAGTACAAAAGAGAGAAACCTTAAAAAATGAAAACCTCACTAACAAATCCAAACACAAACACATTTTTTCATAAGCAACCTGGAAGATTCAATTGTAGATTTCAAAAAGGAAATTGATAATAATCTGGTGAAACAATTTTATAGTTTCATTGGTGAAAATGGGGAGAGAGGATTAGCTGATTCACTTTTCTAACGAGCCAGCAGACACAACAAACCAGCTGACCTCCTTTTGTTCAACTAATCTGTGTGACAAGTATAATACAAAGTTGTACAGAAATATTATCCAAGATACAAAAACTAAGAGGTTTCAACAATTCTGTGAATCATCCATGTCACACATCTTTTCTTACTAATGCCCAATTTATTGATCGTTATTTAAGGCTTCTCTCTCTGACACAATGAAGACATTTATTACAGTATACAAAAATTAGAGGCCTTTTTCAGTGTCATGGTTAGAGGGCATGAAGAGAACCTACTCCAAGAAAAAGTATTATTTTATATATTTATTTATGTATTTAAATTCTGTTTCTTCTAAAAAGTGGACAACTTGCTGGACTCAAAAAATGACCAAAGCCAAATACATGATTGTATTTTCAGAAGTCTGAATCTCTTGAATTGTATTCATATTCCAGCTAAAGCTGACATGACAGACTGTTGCCTGGCTTGCTGTGTTCTTCCAGCCTCCTGTTTGTCTATGACAGACCTGGAGATGAGCAGCCAGCCTTAGATAAAGGAAATATCAAGACCTATTTTGCTAAAATTATTACATCATAGAAACTCCAAAAGAGAGATACAAATTATACTGTTAGCTTAATGGCCTTCTGCTTAGCCCACCAAGATGGGCCCTCAACAACTGAAATGCCTGTAATTGTTGCATGACTGAAATCCAACCTGTTTGAACTGCCTAAATCTAAAATTCTGGAACTCTCCAATTCTCAGTCATTTGGTATAATCAGCTCCAGGCCACAGCAAATAGGAAACCTGTTCTCCCTTTTTCTTTCCCTCTCAAAAGCATCATTGCCACAAAGAACCTTGGATTTTGCCTACCAAACAGGACAAAATTATCCAAGTACAAGAAATACTGCTGCACTTTGATTGTGATCCATTTCCATCCCAGAAATGCTACAAGATCAGCCAGTTAACAGACTCCCAATTGGATATTCATTCACTGGACTCTAAGTCACATAAATATTAACATCTTTAATGTTTTAAAGAAAATCATTAGTTGTGAAGTCCTTCTTTTTCTTTCTATATACCTTGGATACTTGTGCGTTATGAATCAATCCCCCATATTGTGAATGTTTTAATAATAACAAAATCCTTTAATATAAAATCAAAGGTAGAATTTGTGTGTTTATATCTAATATTGGAATCTGAAAGAGAGAGTTTGGAACACCCTTAAACCTACCTCAATAAGTGACGGGAATAAGAAAACAAAAAGGAGTAAACCGAACAGTACCTTATCATCATGGATTGAAGAGGGGAAAAGTAACCAATTTAAATTCACCCCATTCCCCCTTTATCCATGACATCTGAGATTTTGTGCCTTTTATTTCAAGTCGATCATTCTTCCTTATTACTCATTCGTTACTAATTTCAAATGTGAACTTTGTTTCTACTGGTTTGTGATAAGAGAGAAATGTAACAAAAAATATGGGAGAAATAACGATGTGGACAGAAGCTAAAAAAGAAAGAAAGCCAATTAGAAAAGAATTAGATTGTTGAAAAAGTAAACAGTGAGGAACAATTCAAAAAAGAGAAGTTTAAAAAAATTTGAGTGCCAGAAAGTTTCACTGCAACAGTACTGCTCCAGCAGACCTTACATATAGAAACCATGTATAATTTCAAAATTCACTCAACTGCTTTTATTATTGCAAACAATGGAATGAGTCAATAAGTGAACAGTAACAGTACTTTCAAAACAGGAATAAAAAGGTGAAGTAATTGGGATTCCTCTTATATTTTTGAGATGTTGTTAGATTGTCCACTGTTTTACGCATATAACCTGCTAAGTTAAATAACAGTGATACAGTACAGTGTAGACCAATGCTTGACTATGGGTGAAAGTGGAAAAAGCAATAGAGGGAAGGAGAGAGATACTTAGCATGACCCATCTAAGAGAAGGAAATAAGTAGAATAAGTCACATCAACCAAGATAATTGTCATACTCATTCCATCTAACAGTCATGGAGCTGGTTATCAGTCTTGTCATCTTCTTAATTAGGGAAGAAACAGAAGTTTAGAGGATCATTAAATGGGGGCGTGAGGCAGAACACATGCTTGTAGCAATACAAACTCCAGCAGGTTAAGTATCATGCAATTTATGAAGTTACTTAACATTCAACCAAATAATGCAGGTAAAATGTTGTAATCATTTCACAAGCTTTACAACAAATTATTCCTTAGACATTTTTGCAAACATTTGGCTAGCTATGTAAAACATTGGAGAAATTCACACTTAAAACTAAACTGTTACAGCAGAAAAACAAATTAATTTATTCTAATACAGCTGAACTATAAATATTTTAGTGAAGAATTATGACAAGATCAGTGCTTAGTTTCTACTTCAATCCTGCAGATCAGTTGAAAAGTTGTCTCTTTGATTTTGTAAAGTAACAAAATCATGGCAATTATTCCAGCAATTGGGACACAGGAGAACTGATTTTTGTTTAAGAAACAGCATAGATGTACATGGGGTGATGAATGATCGATTCGGGATTGTCATCTGAATGCACTTGAAAACAATCCTAGGTGTTTTATCTATACAATACATGGGAGTATTTTTTAACATGAAAATATCACTGAATAGAATGGTATACTACTTATGCCATTAAAAGATTCAAAATAATTAGTATTATACCTCTCCAGAATAAGGTTTCCCACTCATAAACTGATTCATTAACTTTGACTGTTCCACCTAGCAGAAACAGTCCTTTACATTTCACAAAGTGCTTCTACACAAAGTGCTTTCAGATAATATTACCATTTTAAGTTTTAAACTATTAGGCACGTTCATGTAAATTAAAATAATTTGATCTTGTAAGAAATATTAAAATTCTGACACAAAGCAGTCACCCAGTTCTGTTACTTAACCCGTACTTTTAATTTGCAGTAGCAATGCTACAGTTGTCACTGGCAGACATTAAATCCACACAACTTTCCTAAGCAATATATTTTGTTTTCCAGATACTTCAAAGCTGCTTTTGACAAATAGATTACCAGGCTAGGTAATGTGTCTTTTTTTACAAATTCTTTTCATGCAGCTGAGTGAAAAATCTCAATGTTATATTGAGCAACTTTTCCCCAACATTTGGTGCTATAACTAAACAAAGATACTTAGTTACAAATGTTTCTTTAACGAACAGATAACAAAGGAACAAAAAAAGGCTGAAGGTTGAGCAGAATTTAAACACACATAAAAGTTTAGTTGTGACTAGACATATTTTACGATCAATTCTACAGAAACATTTTGATGACGAGTAATCTAGACTGTAGTTTGCTTTACACACTCCACAAAAACAGTGGGAATTGCAAGGTCAAGTGGGTTGAATTTACTTATTAAATTCTGAGCATGGGTTAGAAGGCAGCTCTGAATGACATATCCAAAATTATCTATTTTTATCCAGATTTCGATTTAGTGGCAGCCACTTCAAAACAGTGTATGTGCTAATGGAATTGCAACAGCAAGCTAAAGCCAAAGTCTTGGCACCAGGTCCATGCTGATATTAAGCTTGTTATGGTTATCTCCCAGGTAAAAGGTATAAAGGAGAATTTAACACAGACTTTTCAAATATATGCAGAATTGTTTCAATTGTATTTCATTTTCTCAGTTTAACAGATCAAGTGTTGAAAATGTAGCACGTCCCAATAACCCCTGTCCAAAATACTCTAAGAACTGAAAGAGACGGGTTGCACTAAAATAGAAAACAGTTCATGTGGTGTCAGATTAAGAGGGAAAAGTAATAACGACTAATTAGTGCCTTGACCACATGTCCTCAGAGTGGTCTGTGAAAATTTTGTGTAGCCCATTTTAGTTTGAGAGTTTCAATTTAAAAATTACCAGCAAAAACAGCTTTGTGCTTAAGCAAGCTGCAGGCGAGTTTATTGCAAAACCTCTGCTGATAATATTCAAGTAAAAGTGACCATGTCACTAGTCAGGAATCCACACATGAAGATAAGTAGATACTTTAAAAATAGAATTTAGATTAGCTTCTAATATTGTTGCAGGCCTGTAACTTGCTTGAAAATTCCATTTCCGAAGACTTGAAGTCAAAATTCAACAGATGCTGTAACTTCTGCAGTTGGAAGTTGCTCCGACAAGTGGACCAAAGAGAACAGGTAAAGATGGCAAATAAAGGTTCCTTTGTTTTACCTTTATGGAAGTGTAGCTTGTTACTCTTGGTCACCTGGTTCAGTACAACAGGCTTGCAATCCTTCTTCCTGTCTCCCTACTTCAGGACGTTTCTCTCAGTCTCTGTTCAGAATAGGTGCTTGCAGCCAGACTTCATACAGATCAAAACGTAAAATGGCAGCTCTCTGCAATGTGCCGTATCACACGTCTCGGTTAACGTATTAGGTTAGGCCTGGAGCACAGACCCAGAGAACCATCTGTTATCTTTTAGTGTAGATAATTAATCTTTTAACTGTCTCAGTCATT